CAGACTGCCCGACACCCCAACACTCACACCCTGACCAGCACACAAACTGCCCGGCTGGCCAACACCAAGACTCATTGAACCTCCAACAAATCTGAGAGATCAAAACCTCATGAGGCAGGCAGCCTTTCTAACCCTGTCTTGGCAACAGCCAGTCTTTCTGGAATTGGTGTATACAGGCAAACTGCCTGTCTTTAGTAAAGATTCCACTGCTCTCCCATTCCAAACCAAAGAGAAAAAACAATTAAATGATTTATTAGCAGCTCTTCTTCATCTTGTATGCATGGAGCTAATACTACCTGAAAGGTAACATTGTAACCTTTTCCCTAAATAACTAGATTGCTCCAGGAGTTTTAACTTAAATCCCCACCACCAACCCTGGCCTCATCCCTAAATATCCAGCTCTTTCCCAAGGATGTGAATCAAAGCCTGGGAATAAAGGAGAGCAGCATTCCCAAAGGATGCATAGCAAAATACAGAGGAACCAGGAGGCAGGTCACCCTTCGAGTCGGGATAATCTCAGGATTAAAACGTTAGAGAGCAGGAGAAGTAGGGAGAGGGAGAGATACACGGAGATCGGGAGAGACAGGGAGAATAGAGAGAAATGGAAGCAGACGGATGGACACATTGTTTTCATCTTCTAGACTTCGTTTGAAGCAATTAAAAGGGAAAAACTGTGAGGATTTACAGCTATTTTAAGGAACGTTATAAGAGAATAATATACTAGTAAGACCCCATTTGGAAAATTGTGTAGAATGTTTGTCACCACATCACAGAAAACATATTGCTGCTCTGGAATCATTAGCTCAGTGACCACAGCCTGGCCAGAGAAACTGGACACAGGCAGACCTGGCTGCCCATGCCTGTCACATTCCCTACTGGGAAAACAAACTCAACAGAGCTGCAGTGTGATCTCCAGTCACAGCCCAAGGAACAGAGAGTGAGGCTTTTAAACTAATAAAATTAATAAATATTCTACATGGCGGTGAGATTTAAAAAATAAGAACGTGTCTGTAATTCTAAATATTTGCAATCGGTGCGCTAATTGCTATTGAATTTTTATCGCTGTGATTCGCCAGTCACGTCAATAAAGCTTGCTGAATTTGAATGAGATAATGGAGTTAATCCTCCCAGCCTCACCTTTACTCTGCCTTGAGAGAGAGAGAGAGAGGGGTGGGGGGGAGTGGGAGAGAGCTCTTCTCCTCTTGTGCACAGACTTTAAAGAGACGAGGAAGGAAGCAGTCAATACCAGCCACCAGGGAGGGAGAGAGGGGGAGAGAGAGGGAGAGAGGGATGGGATAAAAGGTTTAAATGGCTTTGAAGGAAGCACAGCGGGGGGAGCTGGGGGGATGACAGGAAACAAACAGCAGCCATTGCTCAGGGTGGAGGTGAGACGGAGAGCGAGGGGGGAACTCTGGCCAGAGGCCCAGCGTCCACACACCTGAAGGGAAGGACACACCCACACACCTGCCCTCGGAGGAGCTCAGACAGCTTTCTAATTGTTGTCATTTTTATCCAAACAGACTTCAACGCTGCTAAAGATGGGGATGTAACCAGGGCCTGGTGCAAGAGTACAGCAGCAGTGTCCTACCTAGGAATCGAACTCACACCAGTTCCAGTTTCGAACCCAGAGCACTGAACACGGCTCCACATGACAAAAACACTCCTTGGGAATAATCCCTCGTTCCAACCGCTGCCACCCCAGGGGAACTCAGACAGAGAGGGACCGTGACTCCAGGACTAATGTAGTTGCTGGTGTGGATCGCGCAGGCCAATGGATCAGAGGTCAAAGGTCAAAGGGCACAGCTCTCCGCCTCTCTGTGGTCGATTGCTCTAGACTGCTAGAAGCATGCTGTGGCACTGTTGCAGTTTTCACGGTCTGCATCAGTCTGCACGTCTCTCTGCGAGGTGCAACGGCTTCATCGCGCCTCTACCGCTTTCAGGAGCAGCGCAGAACTGACCACTTAATTACACGATTGAACTACTGAGGCACTTAATTGCACCAACATGTCTACCTGCCCCCGCGTCATCAGCAGCTAACAATTCCACGTCATGCCACTCTTCCAGTCCAGCTCCCTGTTCATTTAACTGATAATTAGCAGAATCAACATGGCAATTAGGTGCCAGTGGTATACATGTGCTCCAGTGGAGCGCACTGCACTCCAACGGCCCAGTGTTGACTGTGCTTGAACAGGAGGTCCTCCCCCCAAAAAAATTATCCTCCCCCTGAAACCCCTCCCAGGCACTCCTCCTCTGTGGTGTGTTTTGGGATTGCGAGGAGAGGCCGGCAGAGTAGAAAACACGAATAAAAAGATCAGCGCAGTCCTCACCCGCTCACCCAGAAGGCCCTGAGGCACAGAGCAGTATTATACTGACACGCTGGAGAGCAATGAGCTCCGTGATTGATACAGAGGAGTGACGTCCCCATTGATCAGCCCCCGGTGGGCTTGCCCTCAGTGGGAGAGGAAGTGATACCCTCCTCTGTGAAGCCCTTTCGAATAATAATAATACCCAGCCTGAATCTGAGAGAGGTTGAGCACCGAGCATCAATAATCACTGTGCCATCAGCCCTAAAACAGACACAGATAATCAGCTTAGCACAGATCTCACCACACACTGATCTTCTCTGCAATAACACTGCCAGACACACCGTCCCAGTACAGTACAGAGAGAGACACAGTACAGACACACTGTCCCAGAGAGAGAGGAGAGAGAGACAGTACAGACACACTGTCCCAGAGAGAGAGGAGAGAGACAGTACAGACACACTGTCCCGGAGAGAGAGGAGAGACACAGTACAGACACACTGTCCCAGAGAGAGAGGAGAGACACAGTACAGAC